ACGCTGGTATGTTGATATTTACGCTGGTATGTTGATATTGACGCTGTTATGTTGATATTGATGCTGTTATGTTGATATTGACGCTGGTATGTTGATATTGACGCTGGTATGTTGATATTGATGCTGGTATGTTGATATTGATGCTGGTATGTTGATATTGATGCTGGTATGTTGATATTGACGCTGGTATGTTGATATTGATGCTGTTATGTTGATATTGATGCTGGTATGTTGATATTGATGCTGTTATGTTGATATTGACGCTGGTATGTTGATATTGACGCTGGTATGTTGATATTGACGCTGGTATGTTGATATTTACGCTGGTATGTTGATATTGACGCTGTTATGTTGATATTGATGCTGTTATGTTGATATTGACGCTGGTATGTTGATATTGACGCTGGTATGTTGATATTGATGCTGGTATGTTGATATTGATGCTGGTATGTTGATATTGATGCTGTTATGTTGATATTGACGCTGGTATGTTGATATTGACGCTGGTATGTTGATATTGACGCTGGTATGTTGATATTGACGCTGGTATGTTGATATTGACGCTGATATGTTGATATTGATGCTGATATGTTGATATTGACGCTGGTATGTTGATATTGACGCTGGTATGTTGATATTTACGCTGGTATGTTGATATTGATGCTGTTATGTTGATATTGACGCTGGTATGTTGATATTGACGCTGGTATGTTGATATTGACGCTGGTATGTTGATATTTACGCTGGTATGTTGATATTGACGCTGTTATGTTGATATTGATGCTGTTATGTTGATATTGACGCTGGTATGTTGATATTGACGCTGGTATGTTGATATTGATGCTGGTATGTTGATATTGATGCTGGTATGTTGATATTGATGCTGGTATGTTGATATTGACGCTGGTATGTTGATATTGACGCTGGTATGTTGATATTGACGCTGGTATGTTGATATTGACGCTGGTATGTTGATATTGACGCTGATATGTTGATATTGATGCTGGTATGTTGATATTGACGCTGGTATGTTGATATTGACGCTGGTATGTTGATATTGACGCTGGTATGTTGATATTGATGCTGGTATGTTGATATTGACGCTGGTATGTTGATATTGACGCTGATATGTTGATATTGACGCTGGTATGTTGATATTGACGCTGGTATGTTGATATTGACGCTGGTATGTTGATATTGACGCTGGTATGTTGATATTGACGCTGGTATGTTGATATTGACGCTGGTATGTTGATATTGACGCTGGTATGTTGATATTGACGCTGGTATGTTGATATTGACGCTGGTATGTTGATATTGACGCTGGTATGTTGATATTGACGCTGGTATGTTGATATTGACGCTGGTATGTTGATATTGACGCTGGTATGTTGATATTGACGCTGATATGTTGATATTGACGCTGATATGTTGATATTGACGCTGGTATGTTGATATTGACGCTGGTATGTTGATATTGACGCTGGTATGTTGATATTGACGCTGATATGTTGATATTGACGCTGGTATGTTGATATTGACGCTGGTATGTTGATATTGACGCTGATATGTTGATATTGACGCTGGTATGTTGATATTGATGCTGGTAAGTTGATATTGATGCTGGTATGTCGATATTGACGCTGATATGTTGATATTGATGCTGGTATGTTGATATTGACGCTGGTATGTTGATATTGATGCTGGTATGTTGATATTGACGCTGGTATGTTGATATTGATGCTGGTATGTTGATATTGATGCTGGTATGTTGATATTGACGCTGATATGTTGATATTGACGCTGGTATGTCGATATTGACGCTGATATGTTGATATTGATGCTGGTATGTTGATATTGATGCTGGTATGTTGATATTGACGCTGGTATGTTGATATTGACGCTGATATGTTGATATTGACGCTGGTATGTCGATATTGACGCTGATATGTTGATATTGATGCTGGTATGTTGATATTGACGCTGATATGTTGATATTGATGCTGGTATGTTGATATTGACGCTGGTATGTTGATATTGATGCTGGTATGTTGATATTGATGCTGGTATGTTGATATTGACGCTGGTATGTTGAACTTTATTCTGATATGTTGAACTTAATGCTGATATGTTGAACTTAATGCTGATATGTTGAACTTAACGCTGATATGTTCAACTTAATGCTGATATGTTGAACTTAACGCTGATATGTTGAACTTAACGCTGATATGTTGAACTTAACGCTGATATGTTGAACTTAATGCTGATGTGTTGAACTTAATGCTGATATGTTGAACTTAACGCTGATATGTTGAACTTAATGCTGATATGTTGAACTTAATGCTGATATGTTGAACTTAATGCTGATATGTTGAACTTTATTCTGATATGGTGAACTTAACGCTGATATGTTGAACTTTATTCTGATATGTTGAACTTAATGCTGATATGTTGAACTTAACGCTGATATGTTGAACTTAACGCTGATATGTTGAACTTAATGCTGATATGTTGAACTTAATGCTGATATGTTGAACTTTATTCTGATATGGTGAACTTAACGCTGATATGTTGAACTTTATTCTGATATGTTGAACTTAATGCTGATATGTTGAACTTAACGCTGATATGTTGAACTTAACGCTGATATGTTGAACTTAATGCTGATATGTTGAACTTAATGCTGATATGTTGAACTTTATTCTGATATGTTGAACTTAACGCTGATATGTTGAACTTAACGCTGATATGTTGAACTTAACGCTGATATGTTGAACTTAATGCTGATGTGTTGAACTTAATGCTGATATGTTGAACTTAACGCTGATATGTTGAACTTAATTCTGATATGTTGAACTTAATGCTGATATGTTGAACTTAATGCTGATATGTTGAACTTAATGCTGATATGTTGAACTTAACGCTGATATGTTGAACTTTATGCTGATATGTTGAACTTTATGCTGATATGTTGAACTTAATGCTGATATGTTGAACTTAACGCTGATATGTTGAACTTAATGCTGATATGTTGAACTTAATGCTGATATGTTGAACTTAATGCTGATATGTTGAACTTAATGCTGATATGTTGAACTTAATGCTGATATGTTGAACTTAATGCTGATATGTTGAACTTAATGCTGGCATGTTGAACTTAACGCTGATATGTTGAACTTAACGCTGATATGTTGAACTTAACGCTGATATGTTGAACTTAATTCTGATATGTTGAACTTAATGCTGATATGTTGAACTTAATGCTGATATGTTGAACTTAATGCTGATATGTTGAACTTAATGCTGATATGTTGAACTTAATGCTGATATGTTGAACTTAATGCTGATATGTTGAACTTAATGCTGATATGTTGAACTTAATGCTGGCATGTTGAACTTAACGCTGATATGTTGAACTTAACGCTATGTATGTAACTGTTAAACGAACTTTGGAATTAATTTGTCAATTTCCTTGTCAAGCGAAGAAAACACGAGAAGAATCGTGCTCGAATTATTTAGTCTTTCTGTCACAGTGCTCACATATATATTACTCACCTGGGCACTAGAGTGAAATGTTTGTATCCACGGTAATGTGGTTGACAGTTTATGAGGTGGGCGTGGATCACTACATGTTGTTTAAGATTCAGCTACTGGGACCCAAATGTTCCAAGTAGCACGGGCTATGGTGATCCCGTAGTGGACTTACCTGGCACAGGAGCGGGGCTGTATGTGGTATGGCCGTGGAACACTATGTTGTTGTTGTTGTTTTACATTTGGCCACTCAGAACAAGATGTCCCTGTAGCACGGGTTAAAGTGAACCCGTAATTGAGTTCTGTTATTCACGATAACCTTGTTACTATAATATATTTGGGTCAGAGGTGGATCATTATAATTCCTCTGAGCTTAAGTAGCAGTCAGGGGAAAGTCGGAAATTCCAGCTGGGAAACGGCTAGTTGCTTCCGGAATCTTTCCTTATGAAGACTGCTCAGAGCAAGATGGATAGAGCTTCTGTCTACCACTTGTGGGGTCGGGGGTTCGAGTCTCCTAGTGCCAAAGTGAATGAAATGTTTATACCCACTGTAATGTTGATCACAATTTATATATTGTATATAGATTTCACAGTGAAATCACAATGGTGTGATATATATATATGGAAATCATTTTTAGGCAATGGAGTGACTTGAACTAGCGACCAGATGATTGCCAGACACCTGCCTTAACCCACTCGGCCATGATAGTACACAGTTGACCAACCCACAGCACTACCGAGTTCTTTGGCAGGTTCTGGAGACCCCCAAACCGGAGGCCCAGCCAGGGTTTTACAGTGAAGGCTATTACCGTGGGCCCGAGTGTGGTCGGGTTAGCTGTAACACCCTGGTTAGGCCCCAGTTTGGGGCCTCCAGAACTTCCCAGACGACTCAATAGTCCTGGGTTAGTCAACTTTTGTATAACATCATGGCCGAGTCGGTTAAGGCTCGGATCACCAGGTCGCGAGTTCAAGTCACTCTATTGCCTCAAAATTATATATATAAATATATATACATAACTACTGATTCAGCTAGTATAGATAGTTTCAATCATTAACATGAAATGTAAAAGTGTGGGGTGTGTGTGAGAAGAGAGAGTGGTAGCCTGGTGGGACTTGTGACACCTGGTCAAGACTGGGGCGACGGAACATTATCTGGTCACACACCCTCTGACACGTCTAGTTACCGTCTGTGTCTGCCGCCGCCGCCGACCCTCCATGGCGGCCCCCGCTGTGACGTCACCAGGCATGCCCCGCCCCCTTCCACACAACATTCCCTCAAGCTCCGCCTCCCGCCGGGTCTCTCCCGGAGGCTCCTCCCCCCCATGCTTCACTTAGGTACTTAGCTCCACCCCCTTGCGTGACATCAGCGCATGGACTCCGCCCCCTGTGGTGACGTCAGCTGGTGTGTTGTATAGGAGGGGTCCGCCCCACGTGGCTGCTCAGGTGTTTTGGTGTGTTTGTCGGGAGTCTGGACAATGTCATCAGGGTGTGAGGGCGGGTGGCCAGGTTACCCCTACTGTGCCTATCCGGCACCGCCGCCACCACCACAGTGGTCGGGACATCACCCCCATCACCACCACCATCACTATCACCACCACACGCCCGACTTCTGCAGTCCCCACCAGGGCGCGCCGCAGCCCCCGCCGCCACTCGTCACCTACGCCGACGGCAGCGTCCTGCCGCCATGTCCGCCTCACTACTGGGACGGCGACGAACTCATAGACTCGTACGGCCGCGTCGTGCGTCGCAAGACGTCGGCCAACAAGAAGGAGCGTCGGCGGACGCAGAGCATCAACAACGCCTTCGCGGAGCTGCGGGAGTGTATCCCCAACGTGCCCGCCGACACTAAGCTCTCCAAGATCAAGACGCTAAGACTCGCCACCTCCTACATCGCCTACCTCATGGAGGTCCTGCACGCTGAAGACGCCGCCGCCGCCGCCCACCACCACCACCACCACCCAGCGGCGCCGCCCACTGCCGCAGCCGCCCCTCCTGCCGCAGCCGCCGCCCCTCAACCCTTCAGGGCCCACCTGCCGCCCACACCTGCCACCACCAACCCTGCCGCAGCCGCCGCCGCCGCCGCCCTTAATGACAAGGTTAGTGCCGCCGCCCACCGTTATTATTATTGTTAGTGCCACCACCATTATTATCAGTGCCACCACCATTATCAGTGCCACCACCATTATTATTATCAGTGCCACCCACCATGACGTTATTAGTGCCACCACCATGACGTTATTAGTGCCACCACCATGACGTTATTAGTGCCACCACCATGACGTTATTAGTGCCACCACCATGACGTTATTAGTGCCACCACCATGACGTTATTAGTGCCACCACCATGACGTTATTAGTGCCACCACCATGACGTTATTAATGCCACCACCATGACGTTATTAGTGCCACCACCATGACGTTATTAGTGCCACCACCATGACGTTATTAGTGCTGCCACCATGACGTTATTAGTGCCACCACCATGACGTTATTACTGCCACCACCATGAGGTTATTAGTGCTGCCACCATGACGTTATTAGTGCCACCACCATGACGTTATTAGTGCTGCCCACCATGACGTTATTAGTGCCACCACCATGACGTTATTAGTGCCACCACCATGACGTTATTAGTGCCACCACCATGACGTTATTAGTGCCACCACCATGACGTTATTAGTGCCACCACCATGACGTTATTAGTGCCACCACCAGGACGTTATTAGTGCCACCACCATGACGTTATTAGTGCTGCCCACCATGACGTTATTAGTGCCACCACCATGACGTTATTAGTGCCACCACCATGACGTTATTAGTGCCACCACCATGACGTTATTAGTGCCACCACCATGACGTTATTAGTGCCACCACCATGACGTTATTAGTGCCACCACCATGACGTTATTAGTGCTGCCACCATGACGTTTTCAGTGCCACCAACATGACGTTATCATGTGCCACCAACATGACGTTATCAGTGCTGCCACCATGACGTTATCAGTGCTGCCCACCATGGCGTTATCAGTGCCACCCACCATGACGTTATCAGTGCCACCACCATGACGTTATCAGTGCTGCCCACCATGACGTTATCAGTGCTGCCCACCATGACGTTATCAGTGCTGCCCACCATGACGTTATCAGTGCTGCCCACCATGACGTTATCAGTGAGGCCCACCATGACGTTATCAGTGCCACCAACATGACGTTATCAGTGCCACCAACATGACGTTATCAGTGCCACCAACATGACGTTATCAGTGCCACCACCATGACGTTATCAGTGCCACCACCATGACGTTATTAGTGCCACCACCATGACGTTATTAGTGCCACCACCATGACATTATTAGTGCCACCACCATGACGTTATTAGTGCCACCACCATGACATTATTAGTGCCACCACCATGACGTTATTAGTGCCACCACCATGACGTTATTAGTGCCACCACCATGACGTTATTAGTGCCACCACCATGACGTTATTAGTGCCACCACCATGACGTTATTAGTGCCACCACCATGACGTTATTAGTGCCACCACCAGGACGTTATTAGTGCCACCACCATGACGTTATTAGTGCCACCACCATGACGTTATTAGTGCCACCACCATGACGTTATTAGTGCCACCACCATGACGTTATTAATGCCACCACCATGACGTTATTAGTGCTGCCACCATGACGTTATCAGTGCTGCCACCATGACATTATTAGTGCACCACCATGACGTTATTAGTGCCACCACCATGACGTTATTAGTGCCACCACCATGACGTTATCAGTGCTGCCACCATGACGTTATTAGTGCCACCACCATGACGTTATTAGTACCACCACCATGACGTTATCAGTGCCACCACCATGACGTTATCAGTGCCACCACCATGACGTTATCAGTGCCACCACCATGACGTTATCAGTGCCACCACCATGACGTTATCAGTGCCACCACCATGACGTTATTAGTGCCACCACCATGACGTTATCAGTGCCACCACCATGACGTTATTAGTGCCACCATGACGTTATCAGTGCCACCACCATGACGTTATTAGTGCCACCACCATGACGTTATCAGTGCCACCACCATGACGTTATTAGTGCCACCACCATGACGTTATTAGTGCCACCACCATGACGTTATCAGTGCCACCACCATGACGTTATCAGTGCCACCACCATGACGTTATCAGTGCCACCACCATGACGTTATTAGTGCCACCACCATGACGTTATTAGTGCTGCCCACCATGACGTTATCAGTGCCACCACCATGACGTTATTACTGCCACCACCATGACGTTATTAGTGCTGCCCACCATGACGTTATCAGTGCCACCACCAGGACGTTATTAGTTTCTCGAACCACTTAGATCTTTACGGTAGAGCGACGGTCTCGCTTCATGCAGGTCGGCGTTCAATCCCCGACCATCCAAGTGGTTGGGCACCATTCCTTCCCCATCGTCCCATCCCAAATCCTTATCCTGACCCCTTCCAAGTGCTGTGTAGTAGTAATGGCTTGGCGCATTCCACTGATAATTCCCTCCCTTCCTCCAGGGAAATTCTATTGAATTTTTTCCCTGCCTTTATCTTTCCCATTATACTTCATGCAAAAAGTCTCAATTGTGACTTTAGTCCCCATGCTTGTACTCTGTCTTCTTCAGCGGGAGTCTTTGTGTCACCTCCAGCTCCACTATGTATTCAAGAACGACAATGTACACTTATTGCTTATAGAGTCAGCTACTGGGAACCAAAAGTTCCAAGTAGCACGGGCTATGGTGAGCCCGTAGGGGACTTACCTGGCATAGGAGCTGCAAGTAGCACGGACTATGGTGAGCCCGTAGTGGACTTACCTGGCACAGGAGCGGGGCAAGTAGCACGGGCTATGGTGAGCCCGTAGTGGACTTACCTGGCATAGGAGCTGCAAGTAGCACGGACTATGGTGAGCCCGTAGTGGACTTACCCGGCACAGGAGCGGGGCAAGTGGCACGGGCTATGGTGAGCCCGTAGTGGACTTACCTGGCATAGGAGCTGCAAGTAGCACGGGCTATGGTGAGCCCGTAGTGGACTTACCTGGCACAGGAGCGGGGCAAGTAGCACGGGCTATGGTGAGCCCGTAGTGGACTTACCCGTCACAGGAGCGGGGCAAGTAGCACGGGCTATGGTGAGCCCGTAGTGGACTTACCTGGCACAGGAGCGGGGCAAGTAGCACTGGCTATGGTGAGCCCGTAGTGGACTTACCTGGCACAGGAGCGGGGCAAGTAGCACGGGCTATGATGAGCCCGTAGTGGACTTGCCTGGCACAGGAGCGGGGCAAGTAGCACGGGCTATGGTGAGTCCGTAGTGGACTTGCCTGGCACAGGAGCGGGGCTGTAACCGCGTCCCCAAGGCAGAGGTTGTGTAGGGCCTGTATAGCGGCATCTCGTACTCTATTTGTCCAACATGTGCCACATTCTGGGAAACCAGGAGGTGTCGTGTTGATGGTGGGTCTTCTCCTCTTACACTTGTTGCTTCTGTAATATGGTGCTAAGAAGTGGTTGTCTGCCATGTCTAAAGTTTTTGTTCTCCATGTCTTATCACCCCTGTGGGGGGATCATTATTTATAAAGCTATTTCCCTGTGGTTAAAGTCCCCTAGTATTAGAATATTAGCGCTTGTTCTACTTGCCAGTGTGGGTTGCTTTTTACATTATAATTCTCGTTGCATTTGTCATATTCTTCCCTCGGCCTTCTTCTGTTCGGTGGGGGATTGCAAATCATGGCTACCGCTATGGTCTCCCCTGTCCTCATATCCGGTTGCTATTCCCAGCATGTATTCCTGCTGCTCGGATTCCTCAGCTAATTTGACTTCGTCAGAGCTCCAGTGTAGCTGCAGCAACAAGGTTACCCCCATCCACCCCACACACTCCTTTGTTCATTCTATTTTCCCTCATGTTTGATATACTCGTGGGAAGATCGCATTTACGGAACACTTGTCAGTTTTGCTTCCATTATCGCGGTCATTTGTGGTCGTTCTTCTGTCACTCTTTCCTCTAACTCTACTCCTTTATTTGTAATTCCATCTGCATTTGTGCAGATGACTTTTATGCTATAATTGGACTCCTTTCGTTTTTCAGCAGGTATTTGTTGATGTGGCTGCATTCCTCTCTTGACACAGGCAGGAGGGCATGAAGCTTTAGTCTCTCCTGCCTGCTTGCTTGTGTGGGTAACTCTGTGGTGGTGGATAACTGGTGGTTGTGGTTGGGTGGATAACGCGTGTGGGCATCAGGGCCCCCAGTGCCCCGGGCAGGTAGCGTCACCAACACGTGTGGGCATCAGGGCCCCCAGTGCACCGGGCAGGTAGCGTCACCAACACGTGTGGGCATCAGGGCCCCCAGTGCCCCGGGCAGGTAGCGTCACCAATATGGTGGGCATCACGGCCCCCAGTACCCTGGGGCACGTAGCGTCACCAACACGTGTGGGCATCAGTGCCCCAGGGCAGGTAGCGTCACCAACATGGTGGGCATCACGGCCCCCAGTACCCTGGGGCACGTAGCGTCACCAACACGTGTGAATGTTCTAAATGTCTCATTTAGATGCGTAAGTCTAGGATAAAAATACTGAGTGGGAGAGGGGCGGGGGAGAGGGATGGGGATGGTTGGGGGGAGAGTTGGAGGGAAGGATGGAGGAGGGGATGGAGGATATGGTGCTCCTGCGGATGGAGTTGGGCCACGATGATCACCACCACAGGCGAGGTGTTTGAGACAATGGCGGCCCCTGGTGACAGAGGCGAGGTAGTGAGGGCCGTGTTTACTGGCCACGTACACAGACTCCCGCCACCTCCCTCTTGTCTACACCATGAACGCCTACACCCACCACTGAGGCAGACCAACTGCCACACGCCCCACACGAGAGAGAGCATCATCATCTGGAGACTCCTCCACACCCAGCCGCAGTGGCAACAAACCTTACTGGGATGGCAACGACAGCCATATTCCCTAACATACACCGCACTGTGAAAAGTGTCAACAATTCAGTAAGAGAAAGGAAGGGAAGGGAACTATCAGGAGAAAAACGCCAAGCCATCACGACTTATAACCCTGCGAAGG